TGTCGCAGAGCAGGACATGTAACTAGTGTCATTATGAAGACATTGAATGAAAGATGTAACTGACATTAGAAATGGCTATATATGATTATGTAATCTCATTATTGTGCATAAGAACATGGTTCATTATATATCCTGAAAACCATATTTCGATAACCAAAGCAGGTAAATACATGGTACCAACTTCATTTCGACCTCATGTTACTGATAATAAGAGCAACCTGATTGTCTAACATGTGACCTCATTAATTATGAAACAGAATCTTATCAGCTTGGGCCCCGGTGACGCCGCTTGCGGCTTTAATTTTAATTATTTTTATACAAAAAAATCATTAACTTAGTCTGGCTATTTTAAAGTTTGGACCCACCATAAACAAATCCTGTATCCGCCCCTGTTATGCGGGATAATTGATAGGTCAATTGCACATTCAACCACCAACGCCATTGCTAATAACAAACACACCGTAAGGTAAAAGCCTACTCATAATTTTTGACAAAATTAGTCATAAATCGCATGACAATGTTCCATACTTTATCATGTACAATCACGAAGCTAATGTCCCATGGTACAATTAAATAGCATTATTTTGTGTGTTACAGTTAAGCTTTTTGAGAAACGTGTCTTAATATTTCTTGAACATTGCTATTTTAGTACTATTCCATAGAACACAGTGTTAAAGAAAAATTGCATCTTTTGACAATTTTTAAAACCCAGATTAATAGTAATTCAGAACAACAAAAAGTACTTTATCATTAACAATATATGATTTTGTCAGCCTATGTCACCAGGCTAGATTTTGAGATATTGCATAATATCTCTGCCATAGGAACCTGTGGTAAAAGTGTTATAATAGTGACCCCATTTTTTTCATATCGGGGACCCTGATGATATGAAATAGCAAAAGTAATGTCATTACATATAATCTTTAGTTCATCTCGCACGTCCTTAAGATTAGAAAGATTGGCGGTATAGTAAAGCGTTGAAAGCACATTAAAATACTATTATGAATCTTTTGTATTTACTGAGTAAATTGAAAGTTGGTTATCTAATATATAATTATGAACATTATTACCCGACTGCCTAACTAAAAGTAAAAATATTTGACAAAACACGTTTTTGATCTTGTGAAACATCTAACATACAATATGTATAAATCACGGTGTTACCCTGTGTTACTAATTCGTATCGACTGATGATTTTTATTGTGTTCAATGAACAAATAAATTTAACTTTGTCGATCGTTTATTTTTACGATTTGAAAAATTGAAAAACATTATATTGACAAAACGCATCTAGAAACGACCAAATCTGCAAAGTATCGCCAAAAATAGAATTTTCCAGATTGTACAAACCACATCTATACATTTAAATCTGCATTTGTTGTTGTTGTTGTTGTTGTTGTTGTTGTTGTTGTAGCGACCGTCTTCCTTCTCTGAACTGGTTCACGACAGCCGAATGCTTGGAGGAATGCTTTACGTCCGGTTGAGCTGATCAGATTATACAGTATAGGGTTGACAACCAGACTTATGATCAATAACCAACGCGATAAATCGTATATGCAAATGATAGCCATTACGTCAGCAGAGGAGTTACCAGTGACGTTGTATGTTAGGTGGTCAATGAACTTGAAGACAGTCGGGGTCATGCACAGGAAGAAGACAGTGGTAATGGACACGCATGTTATCAGTATCTGTTTCTCGTCCGACCTTCGAATAGCACGAACGTCTGACTCCAACTGCCGGATAAACATTCGGAAACTTTGCGCCGTCATCACGTACATAACAGGTAGTACCACCAAGGAGACAGAGAAGATGACGATATACAACGCGTACGCAACGTTCTGTACTTGTTTCCGCGTGTTACCGGAGACAAAGCATTCCATCACCCGTGGAATGCTGAGAAGGGTTCCCAACAACCACGTGCACAGAACTAAAGAGATTACTCTTTTTTTAGTAAGAGTGTTGCGAAATCTCAGTGGGTAGCAAATACCGATGTGTCTCTCTACACTAAGAACAATAACTGTTAAAAGAGACGTGAAAAGTAAGAGATTTTGAAAGATTGTCATGTAGCATATAAAACCAACGTTTTCAAGAATATAAACGCCTCCGGTGATCACAAACACATAGTACACCAATACCGAGATGAGAAGTAACAGGTCGGCGACAGCCAGATTCACAAGATATATGTTTGCAGTAGTCTTCACGGAAGGGATTCGACGCAAAACATAAATGAACAAAATGTTAAGTATAATACCGACCACGGCTATACCTGTAGCTACTTTGAAGTAGACATTGCTGGATGCCAAACAAACCACACCATCCCTGTGAATGTCGGTGAAATTTTGCATCTCGTTCATCAAAAGCGTAGAACGGTTTACATCGACTGCATTCATATTAAACGGCTTCACTCTGAACTAAACTCGCGTATCTGAGCCCAATGATGATATATGTATTCTTTCTCCATTACGGAATGTGATAAGCCGATCCATTATAGCATCCGGGTGAATCGAATCACAATATAGCACTATGTGAAATGTGATACTATTATATCTACGTTTAGAGAAACCGCGTGATGGGTTAATAACACATGATACAGTGACTTAACCAAGGCATTTACCGAGATAAGTGATACATTAATAAAGGTTATCCTAGATCATTACGGGCAGACCAGTTCATTTTGGATTATCTATATGTCTCCCGTGGACGATATTGTGTCGTTTTCTGCCCTGAGAAAATAGTTTTGAAGTAATAGTACAACCTATTGCTGTCCCATTGCCTCTATGGTGGCGTAATAGTCTCCAAAGGTCTCCGGTTACCCTATCCTATAGGATAAGAGTTTCATTTGTTTGAAAGAGTACCAATTACGTTTGACTGGTATGGAACAATGCTGAAATACAGATCAGTGCCGTGTAAATAGTCAGTCTCCAATAGGTCGAAAATGTAAGGGTAGGTGGTCTCTTGTCGGTGGTCTATTCAACGACAGAGCCTTTGGTACCAGTAGTCAAAGAGTGCGTCAAAGTCATTTCACTGTCAGCCAGCCTGTTCATGCGCCAACTTATATCCCTATTATATAAGCATGTGTTGTGCTGTGGCAACAATTTGGGCAATATATCTTACGTCATATGTCATACAGGACAATGATTGGATTGCATATTAATGTGACTGCAATCAATTAAGTCCAAGTGGCTTGTACGTTATCTCATCTTATATCAGCAGTATGGCTATTTTCATTTGACCTGTTGACCCCGCATACCATACGTCAAATCACTTTTCATACTTAACCTGGCTACAATTTTCGTGGAGCCACAGCATCGAATAATTTGTATTGACATGACTAACAGCCACAATGCATGAGTGAATATAATGAGAAATAAATGCTGGTGAAAAGTCGATAATATAAATATAATAACACAAAACATTTTAATATGATTTGCACCCGAACACTGTGTATGGTCGGCGCCCAATCATG